ATTCATACTGATTCGTGTTTGCCGGGGGGAGTCGGCCGACTTCCCCGGTCCTCCAGATAGCTTTGTTTGAATAACTGTCTTCCACATCAAGCCGTTTTAAGGACCTCCCATAGTTCTTTTTGCTCTTATACTGCCCCCCCCCTCTTGCCCCCACAATCTTCGTCCCCCCTACTTGTTTCAAGTGTACCCTTTGCGTAATAATATTATTTAACCATAGAATCAAGCAAATGAAAAATGTTCCGGGTTCTAATACATGTCCTGTAACCACGGGAGAGCCGTTAGGATACTAGCAAGCATAGATTTGTTTGTGTCATTGATAAACGTTTACCCTACCGCTAATGGAACTCATCTGTCCCGCTCTGCCTAGGGCCTCAATAGAGTCACTGACAGCCGTGGCAGCTGGTAGTATAAGCAGATAGTATTGTCGGCAAAGACAAGGGAGACCGGAAGGACCATGTTCCGCTTATTAGTCGTTGTTGGCCAGTCATACCCAGACTCAAGTGGCGTCCCATCCGAGTCTCGAACTCGCTACCTCTTTGATCAGAGTCAAACGCCCTAATGGTTGAGCCACGAGCTCGTTTTCTTGCGGGTTGTAGGTCGGGGATATTGACACTCGTTGATGAACGTTCACCCAACCGCTAACGGAACTCATCCGTCCCGCTTTGCCTAGGGCATCGACAGAGTCTCTGAAAGCCGTAACAACTGGTAGTGTAGGCAGATATTATTGCTGGTACCACCTGCCTATTTGTGCGTGTCTCTTCCCTAGGCTATTACTGAAGGTCTCACAAAGCATCCGCTCCCAAGCTATCTTCCCTATTGAGAAGACGACTCGACCGCTGGGACAACACTTTTATTCACCTGACGTTTCGAGATCCGTCGCGGATTCGTCATCGGAGTTATAAGCAGGAATCGGACTCGTATCTATCCTATATTTAATGTGCGATTAATCTTATCAGTGTCGGTATGGCGGGCAAAACGTGGTACTCCAGAACACGTATATCACATTTACATGGAAAACCTATCCTTTGGCGTGGCCTTGTACATAAAGCGAAAACCAGGTTGGGCGTGGCTCTCGCAGACAGGCTGTTTAGCCTACTTTAAGTCGAACTGTCAGTCATAATCTCTTCTTGATATAGGGTCACGGCAATGAAAGCTGTGCAATTATACACTCAAATAATCTCCGCCACTCAGCAACTGCCAAATCCACCACACCCCTTCCCTTTAAGGGGCCATTACGAAGAGATGACGGGTTATCCTGCAGACGGTCCAAGATTAATTGGGCCGCACTTCCACTGAACGAGATTCCCGATGGATAGTTCCATTTGTCGGTTGAGAATTCTGACTCAGTCGCCCTAACTATAGACTAATTATTTTATTATTTTACCTACAACACAGACCATATCACGAAGCTTTTCGGCCTATTTGGGCCTCATCAGGT